TTCCTGATATACTCAAGTTTTAGATTCTAGTGCTTGCAACAACTTTTATTAAAATACATTGAGTTCCAATGATAGGTCAATTAGATTAATTAGTTATATATGTGTAAAATGATGTATCAGGAATAAAATTAATATTACGTTTTGTACAAATTTAACGTATATTGTATTTTATTATATTTTATTTATAGTGTGTGTGAGTTGGTAATTTTTTTGCAAAATTGACCAAGCATTACCACCACCTCAACATAACATTAATTGATGACCTTGTACATCACACTAATTAAAGAAAAATATATTTAATGGTGAATATAAGTTATTATATATCAGTTCATGGATTTAATAATGTTGCGTACAAGAAACAAAAATTATATCAATGTGTATTTATCATTGTATTGCTATATATTTATGGATTCATACTTGATACATAAATAAATTAAGTATAAGATAAATATTCTTGATTCATCAGGATAAAATATTTGTGGGTGTGTATATATATATATGCATGTATCGAAACTTATTTTGCAGATCATTACGTTTTAATTAACGAGAGTGACAATTATTGTCGTCCCTAATTGTTCCACAAGACCTTGTATTGCATAAATAATTTTTTTCAATAAAAATAATTTTCACATTTCCGCTTGCTTGATAAATATTTTGGTAAATTTGACTAAAAACTAATTGATAAATAAGTAATAAATTAATTAATCGCTCATCTAATCCGACTTAATTATTAGGGCAACTATATTTTTTTACAAATATAAATAAAACATAAATATATCATACTTTAAAAAATAGTATAAATAAAAGTATATTACTTAATATATATAAATATTCATTTTTGTTCAAATAGTATATGATGGAGCGCCGTGTTGTCTCATAAAAAAATATCTTTCTAAAAATTAAAATATAATATGAAGACCACCACGCATATATTGGTCACATGTAACCGAACATTTGTCTAAAAATCATGTAATATTTTCTTTCTTTTTATGTCGTATTATTAGACAAATAATGTGTTAGTTATTACTTAATTATAATGCGTAAATTAGCAATAATGTGGAGTATCATTTAAAAATGAAAATTGCAATAATGTGGAGTATCATTTAAAAATGAAAAGGAAGGGTCAATGAGGAATGTGGCCCCAAAAAAAA